TTTTCTATTTCCTCTGTTTCTGGAGGCAGTGAGATCTCTATAGAGATAATGCAGGGTTTTTCCTGATTGCTTCTTTTTCACCCTTAAAACTTTACTGAAGTTTTACGTGATCTGCCCCACTGGCTATATCATGCATCCTTAGTAGCTGTCTTTTCTCAGCAGATTTCAGATCACTGTCCTATTTGTAGTCAGATCCTGCATCTTTACTGCATGCTGTCAAAAATCAATATAGAAAAAAAAATTCAGTCAGAATCTGGTCAAATTCTGCTTAGAGATAACATGCAGTGATCGCAACTGTCTGACTTTGTTTTCCATTCATTTCTTCTTTTTTCCTCTGGTCAAATAAGTTATCTTCTCATTATTGCCTGTTGGTAAAGCCACCTTCTGTCTACTCTACAGTTTCTCTTCACACAGACTCCTATCTGCTTCTCTTGTTTTTTTTTTCTCTCTTACTTTATCCTCTTGAACTCAGCTAAGCATCCAGCTTCCATTTTCCTATGTGTCTCTGCAAGTTACTATGCTTCTACTTCCCTTTACCATCTTCTCTCTTGTTGGGCACATCATGAGCCAAACATCCTCATATGGATTCCTTCTCTCCATATGTCCAACCTCACCCTCTCCTCACCGGCCCTCTTGCAGTACACACACACATGAATACATACAGATCCCATTTCTTCCTCCTTTCCCATGTTCTTAGTCCCGTGTATTCACATGGGTCTCTACCTCCCTATTCACTGCATGGATTCCAGCTGCAAGAATATTAAGAGGAGGAACAGTCAGATTCCTTTATTGGGGTGTATGTGGTGGTAATGAAAAGTTCCTTCCAGCTCAGAGCTTCTCTGATAAAACAAAACCAAAGGTCTGCTCTACAGTCTTCTTTTATTGTAACATTTCAGTCTAGAGTTTGATTTTTATATCTTCAAATGTTTCAGGCATTGATGATATTATTATTTTCTATCAATATTGTACCAAAAAAATCAGCAAGTGGATGAAACTAACAACCAAACAAAAAATTAGTGAAGTGTTTCGGTAGCTTCAAAAACCTCTACATACATCTTATTTCTTTTTATTTGTTGGTATTCACATTATTATTTTTGCTTTGCCTAGAACAGCTTTTAAGTAATTGTAGCTATTTAGTGTCTTAGAATTTCAAAAAAATGTTCATTGTTTTTCTTTACATTAAAAAACCTCTGTTCTTTATATACATTCTTTTTCACATCAGCTGTCATGACTCTCTAATCTGGAATCCTTTTCAAGGCTTTTGATTATTGATTTTTAAGCATAGTACAGTTATAGGAATTAATTTTTGAAGAATTGGATGACCATCTGGGGAAAGATGATTTTCCTTTTAGTTAGTTTCTGAAGTAGGTTTCATGTACCCACTCATAGTCCTGTATCCTTAGAGCCATGTAAGAGTTTAGGTAGTCTGGGTAGCATTATTTTGGCAGCACAGAAGACAAGGCATGCAAGTTATTGATGTCTCGCTATGATTTCTGGCTTCTTTTTGAGATATGATGAGAGACTCAGTTTTGGACAATTATTTATGCCACTTGGGACATTGGCTTCACTCTCTAGCTTTTTATGATCCACCTCAAATCTAAAGCAATACTGCTGACAATTGTCAATATTTTCCTTATTTTGATTATAGGTCTATAGCCTGTCCATCCTGTAAAAAGGAAGTGAAATAGCACATATAATGTGTTGTAACCTTTTTTTCATCTTCATTTTATTATAGTGCAGTTATTTTGTGCCAGAGTTCTCTCCACTGTGGTCTCATCACAGATTGTCTGCTAAAAAGTCATCCACAACAGAGTTCTGGTGCAAGCTGCATTTTCTCTGTATGTGCTTGTTTGTTGCTGCTGCTCATGTCCTTGTGTCTCGATGCACACCATTCTTTTAACTCTTTTTTTTTCTTACTTCATCTTTTGTTTTCACATACATGCATTTCAACTCAGACTTGATTACTACCATTGTTGATATTACAATGGCACAGTTTACATTATTGTAACATCTTTTTTTTGCTTTGCTTAGCAGGAAAAATGAAGTTTTAAATGATTTCACAACAGTACTCTGTAGGCAGTTGAAAAACCTTGGGTTTATTTATAGTTTCTGCTATTACATATGTAAAATAAAGGAATTTAAAAAAAAAAAAAGTGGAAGAATTGCATTGCTCACAAATGATCCATTAACTGAAAAGTGAAGGCACAGTATTTTAAAGAAAATGAGTGCTTCAGCATTTCTAAACCCTTGCAATTTCAGTTACTTGTCAAATAACTGCTTACTTTCTTAAAAAACCGTCTTCTAGAATTGGTTTGTTTACATGCATGTTTACTAATTTAAATTCTTAGCTTTAAGTAGCTGTGTACAACATGAAGTTTGTGCTGTAAAATACAGCCATCTCTAGGAGTTGATGATATGTGTTATTTTCACACACTCAGAATTTCTGTGTATATTGGGAAATAGTCCCCATTCACAGCACAATGCATGAAGGTCTCTTTTCAGAAATCCATTTATAACAGGCTGCTCTTACGGAGTTCATGCTTATGAACTACATTTTGTCATCTCCTTAGTAAAATAATTCTGTTGTATTAGACAGGCAGTCAGTTTCTGCTTGGTGATAATATTTAGAATGGTCTAATTTTTTTTTTTTTGTAGTTTGTAGAGTTGTTGGAGCACACCTCATTTCCTGGTAGTCTTGTGGGCCATTAACTGGATTAACAGGTAGCTGTGCAGAATACAATAGAAATTCCACATTCAAAAGAAAACATTGCATACTAGTTTTGTATCATTTCTTTCATAGTCTAATTGGTCTATTTATTTCGTTGTTATCAGCAACTCTTATACTGGAAATAATGCTCTGATGCTATGTGCTGCAAATAGCGAATTAGGGCTTTTTATATTTAAACTTATTTTAAGAAGCACATAAAGATATTATGTAGCCACAGTTCTACACTGAAGAGTTTGTAGTGAAATCCTCTTAATTCAGCCTTGAAAGTATTCATGTGTATGCTTTGCTGTGAAGACGAATAGCTGGAACATTGACCACAGTAAAATTTTGAAATTTTTTAATGGATATGGTTAGATTTTCTTTTGATACCTTGTTATCTTTAGTAGCTTGTTACTTGAGAACAGATTGCTTTACTATTGGTTGAGGAGAGAAATAACTTATTTGTACAAATTTGTACACAATTTGTACAAATTGTGAGGAATATGAATTTAGACTTAACACTGTTGTTGTTATAGCAGTTGAGAAGGGTTTGTTGTGAGTTTGGTTTTGGTTTTTTTCCCAGACTGTCAAACTGATCTAATCTGTCTTTTCAGTTCTTCCTGCAGTAAATTGTTAGAAACTCTCAGTCTTCAATATGGAAACATTAGTCAATTGAGAGTAGGTTTTTTTTAAGATGGTCTTACATGGGGTTTTTAAGCTTCCTTGATTTACTGCTCTCCATGCAAGTAACACCACAGTTTTTCAAGATTGGAAGACTTCACATTCATAAAGACATATAGTCATACTTACTAATTAGAAGATGATTCCTATGTACAGAAGAGTGAATTCTCAGTATATAAATAAAATAATTTTCATCAGCTTGTTATATGTGTTGAAAGGGGGAATTGCTTAAAAATTATTTTTAATTGACTGCTGTAACCAGAATAATTCTGTTTACATATGTTAGAAATGACATGTATTTAATTAGAGTGTTTATCTTCTCTCTGGCAATACCTACATTTTGCCAGTTATTAGACTATTTCCGTAACTTCTCAGATTAAAGAAAAGGCAATTATTACCCAGTCCAGTTTGCAGTAGTGATTTGTAATTTCAAGATTTCACTAGAGTTTAAAAGTCAGTGTCCCAAGATTAACTCTAGTTAGACTTTGGAAATGTAATGTGTGTAACCATATTTTGCAAAACAGAGGGTATTTCAAATTGGTTTTAAAGTCAAGGATTTCCTGTCTGTGTGTTACCCAGTCTGGGAGTAAAGAGCAGCTCCCACTCCATGTTTGAAGGGCATTACAATTACTCTTCATAACATCAAGTTTTTTCTTCAATATTCTCTTATTTTATTTCTTACAATATGAAATACAAATAGAAATGGCCTCCTAAAAAGAAAAACCCATATGAAACTTTTAATATATATGTCATTTCACACTGCAAAGAAAGGCAGTACATAAAATTGTGTAACAGCGCATGATTGCAAGATATAATCACTGTAGTCAATTCAGTCCTCAGTGAAAAGAAACAAATACTGGAGCAATAACTGGCTACACACTGGAATAATGAAATATATTTTATTTTCTGGAACAATAAAATCTATTTTAGAAAAATCTTTAATACAGTTATGTCAATCCAAACATGTCTTTGCAGTGTTTAATATCTCTCCAGCTTATTTACTAATACAGTTTTCTTTTGGAAATCCTCAGTGCTGACCCCTCTTGTTCTTTAGACAAGAGGACAACAACTTTTGTTCCTCCAAGGCAGAAGACTGTGAAGTTACAGTAATAGCTGTTCACCTTCCATTGCCCATGTCAAATGTTCAGTTAACATTGTGCAATTCTACATCAGTGTAGAATTTGAGAAACATCACTGCAAATGATCAATTAAAAATTATTACTCTCATGTAACTAATAGGACCTCTTTAATAGGATGTCTTTATTCACAGTTTTTATAAACAACAGTCATTCTATGATTTGAGAATAAGATGTATCACAAATTATCAATTGTTTTTGTCAACAATTTTTATGTGAGTCTGTATTTACTGTACACTGGTGAAGACTTCGGGTATATCAAAAGCATTCTGTGCAGTTTTCGCTTTTAAACATCTAATGTTTAAGGGAAAATGCATTTTGAAAGGTGGATGCCTTCCTTTTTCTTGGGCCAACCTCAAATGGATGGAATGAGGAGAACAGCTAATGACTACATTTTGTTTGGTGTTGGAACCCCAAGAGAGAAATGTGAGTATACCATCAGTCGTATCTCACTGTCCATCTTTCTGTTTTTCTAGGAGGTGATTTCCTGTCATTTTTAAGAAAAAAGAAGGATGAGCTAAAAACCAAACAGTTGGTGAAATTTTCATTAGATGCTGCCTCTGGTATGGCTTATCTCGAATCTAAGAATTGTATACATAGGTAAGGAAGATTTCTTTTTTTCTCACTATTGTACCTTTGCTCATTGGAAGTGCAAGCTGTTTAACTGTGTGTGCTGCTTATTATCACAGGAGTGAGCCCTGCAATTTGAAAAAACCCCACTTTTTCTGAAAGTAGATCATTACTTACTGCTTTTCTAATTCAAAATTATTTTGTTCATTTGGGTAAAAATAAGTACTACATTATTTTATCTCTATAGTTTGTTGCTATTAGTATAAGTTCAAAATTATTTTTCACCATAATGATTTGCTTTATAAGGAGCATAATTCATACAGTGATAGTGAATCATGGCAAGAAGCAATCTGTGAGGCTTACGTCCTGTCTGAAATCTACAGATACTTGCCTGACCAACAAACAAGTTGTTACGTTTGAAGTGCGTTTCAGAAAAATCCACTGGTTTCTTAGATAATAGAGAACAACTGAAGTTCTGTATATTAAAATATTAATTTCCTGAACTGCTTTCTCTGCAATACAGACGAATATCAGGCATTATGCTCTTGGAGTATATTATTTCTGTTCCTACCATTCCTTTTTCTTGTTTCTTCTCCAATTTGACTCTGTCATTACTCTACTTACACTCTGCTTGTATCAAAGGGAATGTGTTTAGTTTCCACCTATTTTTCTCTCAGAACAGCACAGTATATACCCTGCTTAATTCTGTGGCTGAAATATGAGATGTAAACATGAAAAATTAAGAAGAACAAGTTTTCACCTGTAATATTTAGGAATTCCACTTTGTAGAACATTTTTAGGTGAACTGTGTGGCACCTCACATAATCAGTCCATTTCGTAATTAACACCCTTCCGGCGACAGCTGTTATTGGAGATCTGAGTGGCATTTCTCGTAGATTTTTGTCAGTAGTGAATTGGTCAGTTGCATTTATGCAAGCCAAGTTAATTGAAACAGCTCATGGTGTATAATTGAAACAAGATCATGCTATATAAGAAATACTGAGAGAACAAAACTAACTCATGATCTGAAGCTATGGAATATTCCCTTAGGGAAATTCCAGAAAAGTGTTGTAAGCATTCTGTCATGGTAGAATGTCTTCAGCCTGGCTCTGTTTATCAAGAAAACAATGACGTAAAAATCAGAGCAAGTAACAGCATTAGTGATTTACGCTAGTCTCATAAATGCTCCAGTGCTTAATAACTTCTGTAACTGTCAGATCAGTCTTAAATCTGAAGTGCCTGTTTAGAGCTCCTGTTTTCTTAGAAAAGGAAAGCGAAGGTAAAAATAGTAGCTGGATAACTGAAGTTTGTCATTGCAGTTACTGGGTGGAAAAAATCAGTATTTATTCATTAAATGATAGTGTGCTGCCTGCAAAATATTAATAGTTTTAGAAAAAATTAGTTGGCTTTATTTTTTTAGCTCTGGAAAAAGGGTATCCTTGCCACATCTATGTGGAATAGTACTGTTCTAATTGTTGTAGATGTCTGTGGCTTCAGTGTATCTCTGAAATATCCACTGTCAGTTGGTGAGCAGTGAATAGGAACAGCTAGTTCTTTCCCCCTGCTTACTTTTTAGCTTTCAAAATATTCACTTAATTTGTTTATTATTACAAATTGTAACAGGAGATTATCAGAGAGAGCTAGCACTTTTCCTTAAAGGCAGAACCAAAATTTTTAGTAAACCTATCCTGAATAAAACTAGGAGTTTTAAAGTGCAACCAAGCAAATAGTGTGTTCAAGAAAACGGCTTACTTTGGTAAAACATACAGTTTAGTAAATCAAAATATACATTTTCAGAATTTGTTTGCCAGTCTTATTTTCTGCAATATTCAAGATTCTTTTTGGGTTTATGTTGTTAGGCATGGCATGTGCTTATTTTATTTATAAGCTAATTCTTCTGAACTTGATAGAGAGCAAACAGGCTAAGCAGTAGTTAAAAAACCCTAAGTTCTTTTGTTTGTTTGGAGGTCCATAGGCTTTGATTACTATTCTGTAAAGATCAGTAATGTATAATTAGAAATAATTTCAGTTATGTAAGTTGCGGTAAAGTGAAATTTTTTTGCTTCACGCCGTTGTCTTTCTGGAGTATTCAGTTTTTTGATTTAAGGATTTGTTCAGAATGCCCACATATATTTTTAGTAGTTTAGTTGACTATAATTTAATACCATGCACATTTGACTATCTGCTAATGTGAAACTAAAGACTACTCATCAGTTTATTACATTTATTTTTAGTGCCACTTTTTAATTGTAACTGCGCTAGCTATACTTAGATTTTATATTTTAAAATTCTACCCAAATTTGTACTGGATTTCTGAAGTTGCTGTTTGAGTTATATTTTGACTTAGCCTTTCAGTAGTTGGGAGAGTGCAACAACTAATGTGATGTGTGTTTTTTCTATTTTTTGTTTGTTGTGCTGTTTCTGTAGGTGCAAATACAAAGTTAAAATCTGTCAGACTTAAGATGCTTAACGCATCTAATGATCTACATTTTCATCTCCTTCAGCGTCCAGATATCACTTTTTCTTTACTCTCTCTGTTTCTGTTTAAAGAACAGAAATGACTGGGCTTAAAAGAAAAAAAAAAAGCTGCATGAAAAGATGTTATTAAAAAAATAAAAAGAGTGGTTGAACATGCAGAGAAGAATGTAGTCATTTCATCTCCATTTAATTAACATGGGGTTGAAGAATTGTTTCTCGTTTTTCATTTTTACCATATGCTATTGTTTAGGTAGTTCCATTTTTCTGTTAATTAGAAACAGAAGATAAGGATGGAGATGTGATAATTTCAGTCGGTTTAATAAGCATTTGTGAGTAGCCTTCTTTTCCAGTTTTTGATTTGCATGTGACGAATTAATTTGTCCATAATTTATGTTTTATTTTTCAAACCAATCTTGTGGGAGTACAGGAGAGAAGCTGCAACTACCCTGACTCAGAAGTATGTGCAGGGACATCTTTCACAAGATGAGGGTGACTTATTTGTAGTATATGCACTATGTGTGTGCGAAGACAGGGACTAACTACATTCAAGGTCAAGTTTTCCTTTCAGTCAATGAATTTATGTTGTGGAAATCTCCCATATTCTGAATTAAAGATGTGTTAGTTGGTAGGATGACGATATTCCGTGATTCAGTCCTTCTGTTTTTAGTCATATTACTACTGCTTCTTTTTTCTCTTTGTTTTGTAACTGTTAAAAATCCTACACTGAATTAAAAGTGGCTGGTTTACCTTCATGTTATGAAATCCTGACTCTGTAGATATTAGTTCAGGATTTCTACAGTTTTCATTAGCTATATATAATTTCATTTAATTACGTATGAATTGCTAGGAAAACGCTTCCTTCCCTGTTACTAATCTAGTTTACCTGATCTGTTGTACTTCTGGATCATTTTTTCCTCTCAAGCCTGGTAACTGCTAATGTATAGAATTTTGGAAAAAAGTATCATGACTCTTTCATACCATAAACTTAAAAACTCCAAAACTGAGCAGGTCTCCTTCCTAAGAAGAGGGAACAACCTTTCTGCTTGATTTCTCTACCTAAATCCAGTGACAGACAGTAGCTAAATACTTCTTTGTGCCTGCTTCTGGCTGGCTCTAAGCAGTCCAGTGCTCAGGGGAATGACTGCTTTGGTTCAGTTCTGAAGTAGATGAGTCTCTGTGGGCACAAGCTGTTTCTCTGAATACTGCATTTCCTTCTGGCCAATTGCAATACCTCAGACCCTTATTGTAGTTTCTGTAGTTTTCTCTGCTAGTGATGACTTATGAAGAAAGACTACATTTGGGTGGAATGGATTTGCCTTTCTGTAAACTATATGAACTCTTCAAGGTTTAGTGCAAGGATTAATTTGCCATCATTAATTATCTTTTTAGGATTCATTCAGAACTGCATGTATAAAGAGATTCCATTTCTATAGCTTTCTTTCATAGAAAATATTTATTACTGAATCAAAAAATCTGTACTAATATCTGTTGATCGTGCTTCAATTAATAAGTCTTTCAGAGAATTATGGTCAGTAGCACAGTTGAAATGCCCCATAAATGTAATGAATAATCATAGTTTCAATCCTTATTTATAAGATGATCTCTACTTTGTATAAAATGATGTTTCAAAGATTTTTTTTCAATATGAATATTAGAAATATTTACATTCCGTTTAAAGTTAAAACCCCAAATGGGAACTTTGATGAAGAACAGTTGCTTTCCATAGGCCGCTTTATGTTGATATGTTGTTAGTGTTAAGGAAAAAGCCACCAAAATTTACTCTGCCATATCTAGGAAATAATTTTTAGTCAAACTTGGTATTTGATTGGCACATTACAGTACCATGTGCTGAGTTTTATTAACTAATACAGTGCATTTCAACTACTGTCATCTAGGAGAGGTGGGTGAACACTGCTACATTTCAGTCAGCTTGCCATATGGATTAGAGTGTTATATACCAGGTTTCAGCTTTTAAGAATAGATTTTCAAGGGATTTACCTCTCCTTTCTTTTTCCTGCTGTCACATTGGTAAATGTGGTTTGATCCTAGAGAAATGCATTTACAGTTAAAGCTGAATCAGTTCTGAATCAGTACTTTTGATTGTCAGAAATCTTATTTGAGCAAAGTGATTATTTTTTTTCTTTAGTGAGCTCATATGATTCTGATTTGAAAGTATTAAGAAAAAAAAAGTGAAACGTAAGTTTCCAAACCCATGAAATTAAATATGATGAATATTGTATACTTTAAGCTTATTATAATACATTAGAGCAATTATTGAATCTAAGTATGCTATAATGTATGTGGAGGTGAATGGTGGTGAAGGGTTGCTTCTGAATAAAAATTGAGCTTCCTTCTTATCTATTATCTGTTGCCCTAAGTTAATTGCATTCTGATGTGGCTGATAACGAAACAGTATAAAAGGCAGAGAAATACAGTTTTTTCATGAACTCTGTTCATGTGTTGTACTGGTTGATACTGCTTCCCCTTGTGTGCTTTATTTGAAAGTCACCCCAAGCACTATTGAAAGAAAATTAGCCATCACAAATTTAGCT